TTCTTGTTATGAAAGTATTAAAGTGATTATTTTGCATAATTCAACTATAATTGGTTTGTGTGGTCTGAAATTTCATGAGTCGAATTGTCTGATGAATAGTAATGTAGGTGCCTTTTACGAATATTTTTAACAAGAAGCAGTTGGTAATGACATCTTCATTTTCCTCATTTTTGTTCTACTCCTATCACCGCTATATCAATTATCCTTGTAATACATCTATGTAATGCTGATATGCTTTCTATTAAGAATTGCCTACAATTGAACTTTTTTTCAGCATAATGCTCAATGATCAAACTATTGTGATGTGTTCTTTTAATTTTTATGACATTGAAGACTGACTTCTGAGGATAATCATGGCTTCTTTAGATGATGGGAGCAGTAACGTACTGTGATCATTTTTTCTGGTTAGGCTCCAAAGCAGAATAACATATTATTTATCACTCTCCTGCCATCATGAATGAATTTGTTATTTTCTCATTTACACAATGGATACTAGAAGAATGTGAATCAATGGTCATTGGATTTTCTGTTACTATAACTTAAAGAAGGAAAAAATAGTTCTTTAGAAATTGGTTCCAGTACATTAAACGAAAACAATGTTAATATATTATGTATTACAGAGAATTTGCTACTGGAGTATGACAAACTCAGCACTAAATGACAAAAATGAGTTAATAATTTTTTTACGTTATTCCAGAAAATTTGAAAAAACTGTTGCTTTAAATAGATGCAAAAGTAAAGAACTCTCCTTCAGTTTTCATGTAAGTCAGCTTGACTTCCCTATCTTTCTTCGAAGTAAAGACATCAATGACTCAACCCAAAAATTGTGGGCATTTAGAATTCTTTTTAAGGCTCACTTTTTCAATAGCAAGTGTGGAAAGATTGGATGGTCTTTCATTAGTCATTGAATTTCTCAAATACAACTTCACCTGTTTTAGAGTGCTCATACTTCTTTCATACTAAACTATTGTGGCTGGTATACTTAATATCAGGGGGAATCATTTAAGTCACTGATAAAGTGTCTTTCAAACCACTATTTATGAGGTATTTAAGCAGATGTTTAACTGACTATCATTTATCTTGCCTTCTATAAATGAACATTAGCTCTCCTTTTAACTTCTGTGTTAAAACACAGAAAAACAGCACAAATCTTGTTTCGCTTGAAAATGTGCAGTAGAAATGAAGCGCCTTGTAATATTTTTTGATCCATTTTTGTTATGCTTTGTAGGAGCAATGCATGCAGCTTCTGATAAAGCATGGTTAATTCTTTTTTTATTGAAGGTCGCATCATCATCTAGGTCATTAGCAACTACTATTGGATTTAATGTTATGGTATCTGTGAAGATGACATTATATGATGATGATGATGATGATGATAGGGGGGGTGAAAGGACTAACACAAATACCACCATGCCGGAGGTAGGACTCGAACCCACGAACCTTTGGTCAGAGTTTTGCTATGGCACTACTGCTTTAAAGATCTTGGCCACTGAAGTTAATTATTGTTGTCTTAATTTTTTGGCAACCATTGTGTGTTTTACTGAATGCTTGTGCTTTTTTAACCTTAGCCATGCAATTTGTTTAAACTGTCATCCAGTATTCCTGCATCTCACTACTCGCTGTCATTTCTTGGAAATAAGAGACAATGAAAACAATAGAGGATATGTCTTCTAACGCTTACAGTCAACTACAGCTTTGTGTCGTAACACTTTTTTTAAATGGCATATATTTTTCCCATCTGTTTTAAAAAGAAAGAGTTGTCGTAGGCATTTTAGTCTTAACTTCTAGTTTCCCCCCATAGCTTAAATTACTGAAGTACAGCAAAACCCTTTTGTAATAGATCTCGTTATAAGAGATACCCGCTTATTAGAGACCAAATTCACGGTCCCAAGGTGAGTGCAAACAATGCATTATTTAGTTTATTATATAAACATAGCAAGCAATGCATTTATTGTTTAAGAGACCCTGTCATAAGAGAATCCCGCCTATTGTGGACAAGATAGTTTTACCCTGCCATGCATTTCTTCCCACTTGTAAGAGCCAAAGCGTTGAATTTTCTTCCAGGTGACGTGGAAATTTCGTCAGTGGTAAGGGTTGGGGCCACGCTTAAAATAGACTGGAGCAGGGGTTCGCAACACCAGCGCTACCAGGTGGGGTGGAGGGTGCGGAATTCTCGTGAGGAAAGCTCATTCTGTAAGCTTCGTGACTTGAAAACAAGGAAGTCGCTGCACTGTCTATTGCTTGTAGTGTTTAGTCCAATGTTTCCAATTGTTACTCTCTTGTACACGTGCGTATGTACGGAGTAATATAGAGAAAGTTACGTAATACTACCGAAAATCGGCTTCGAGTTTTCAACGGCTTTATAAGTTTGGGGGATACCGCCTAAGTGTTTTTTAACGTCCGTTCGTGAACAACAGTAGCGCCTAAACTATTCGATTTTTTCCCAAAATGAATCGATCTGGCTCCGCTCAAAACTCTGTTTTGTGAAACGTTCTTTAATTTTTGACATGAATCAAATCCCTGGGTCATTTTCCCAGGGAGATTTTTCCTTCAAATATTATTATTACGTACTTATTTCCTTCATTAACAATATGAACTCTTTTTTAAAAAAATGTTTGCAAGCAATATGGCATTCAATATTAAAAAATAAAAAGATTTTCTCAAAAAGGCTCCATTTTTAACTTTTGGTAGGGTTAGTGCTGAATATTTTCTATGACATAAACGCCATTTTGCTTTATTTTGTTTTTTCAAAAATTATACAAATGTAATTTTTGGATATCTCTGAAGTTGTCATTAGAAGATACATGTTCACACAATGCAATTATGAGCATGTGTGCTTTAAATGATGCCATTACGTTCACTCAAAAAATGTGGGTAAATGTGCCCTGGTATCAACTTTAATGATAAAGATGTGGGTAAATGAGCTCTACTATCAAGTTTAAAATAGCGTGCAAATCATACTAATCCTCTGAAAATAAGGTAACCTTTCATTAAACATGTCAAAACCCCATTTCCCACTTATGAGATCCTGCTTATAAGAGACAAAATTCCATTCCTCCAGGGCTCACTTATAAAGGGGTTTTGCTGTATGTTGGGAATTGTAATAAAGCATCTATAAGATTGTCGCCTGGTAAAACCCTATTTCTTACAGTGAGCAATAACATTTATATTATTTATCATCTATTGATTAAATACTACTGTGAACTAAAATTATGCGATGAACCAACATTAATTTCTCACCTGTTAGATACGAGAAGTTGAAATCTTGAATTCTTGAATTCTTGAACCGGATTGTTTCACTACAATACATAGGCTCTTCCACTATAATAGAGAATAAGTACAATATTTCAGTGTGATCATCAGTACTGTTAGAATTCGGCTAAGCTCTTATTCTTTAATTGTGCATGCAGACATTTCACAGATGTCACCATCACCTAAACCAAAAGCCCACTGAGGGCCAGGACAGCATTCATGTTGGACGAATCTTTATTTCACTGATGCAAAAACAATTTTAAAATGATAGAGCTAAATGCAGAGGAAAAAGGTTTATTATAATTACTAATCAATTTATTTTGCTCTCTGCTGTTTCTGTCACTTATAGGAGTCATTAACGCATTTTGAATTTTATTATTAATAGAGTATTTATTTTGGTCTTTAAGAAAACTACTAGAATCAATTTTCCACACAATCTAAAATACATTTCTCTCCAAAAGTTTCAATTAAATTAATTGCTTTTGTGCAGTTTTTGCTTGACTTTTTCATGAACTATTTACATAGTACAGAGAAAATATTTTAATGTCACAGCAAAAAAGATATTTTTCAACAGAAAAACTAGTTTTGTGGGACAGTGAGACTGAAAAAATGAATAATTCTTTCTCCTATTAGTGCATTCGACAGATACTGAAAAAGAAGATTACATGAAAAAAGGCAAAAACGTTTTTCTTTGGGTCTATAGTATGTACCCAGGCACTAGTTAAAATACCAAGTTTTACTACCGCCCTTCCTCTACCTTACTAAAAACCCTACCGTTATTTCAGGCCTCTCTGACTTACACTGGGGCTGGGATGTCGGAAAATTGAGGTTTTGACCAGTGTCTGGATACATACAACATACCCAAACAAAGAAAACAAAAAATATGGCCTTTTTCTATGGGAAATGTACTTTCTATGGGATACGACTGAAGTGTGTATGCAGTACATTACTTCTAACATGTTAGGTACTCAGAATCTACATATTGTGGAGCCTTCATTTCAAAACAAAAGGAGTTCAACAATCGGTCTGTCCGCCATAAAACGCTCTTGCATGCAGCCAGTGTCAAACAGCCTTTGTTAATTTATTTCAGTGCAAGAAAGGGACACGTGACACATGCATCTTTTTTTCCACTCCTCCAAGTTGTGAAGGTTAAAAGCACTGATTTAGAAGCTGTATATATGTACCCTTTCTGCAGAGGAAGATGCACTTATCTACGGTAAATAAGGATTCATTGGTAACTCAAAATCATATATGCAATGTGAACTCTTTCTGTTCTAACTGATTCACACTTCTACAATGTTACTTGCAGTGTTTGTAAAGACCGTTTTGTAAGAATACTAAATGTGTTATAGAGAGTATTTTGGTTTTATTGAGCAGTGTGTATGCTACATTTTGGAAAACAATTTTGTGTTATTTGTTCACATGAAGTTTTGCTGCTGCAGGCCACTAGTACAAACACATTAAGATTTCAGTATACCAGAATAGTTTATCCTGATGTATCTGCCTACAACTTTGTGACTTATGTGGTGTTTGAAAATAAATACACATATTGGAAGTCATTTTGTTTAAAACAATAACTTTGCATTTCTGTAATTTATAATAGAATAATGGACGAACTTAATTCACATAAAGATACCTGTAAAAATGGCGTAGGATAACTTACTATTATCATTATTTTGAAATAAATGCATTTTTGGATGCATGTTAGTAACTTTTGGTATTTGTTGGTTTCATTCGATTATAAACAGGAATGGAACCCCAGCCTGGCCCTTCCAGAGCGCGAGAGAAGGATAAAGATCTGTTGAATGCATTGTTATCGGAAGAAGAGTTTTCGGATTCTGAATCAGGAGGGAACCCAAGCGACGAATGCGACTCCGGTAATGAACAGTCAAGAGGAGAAATGGAAAGTAATAAAGTTTCAGCATCCAATTCTGATTACAATTTAGATCCTGCAAGAGTGTTTCCAACACCCTTCCCGTCTTCATGCGAGGCACATCCTATCAGCTGGGGTGATTATCCTTTTGCTATGAATAAACCGCACTTTGTTTTCTCGGAGCCAGTCCGACTGAAGGTTCCGGTGTCTGGAAATTTTCCCATTAACTATTTCAATTTATTTTTTACCGACGATTTTGTCGATCGCATTGTGGCAAGTACGAACAAAAATGCTGAAAGCCTGTTTTCTGAAGGTACTAAAGAAAGTGTTAAAGCAGGATGGAAGGAACTGACTCGGGATGAGTTTAGAAGATTTCTTGGGCTACTGTTTCATATGGGGGTAATAAAGCTTAGTCATTTAGCGCAATATTGGAGCAAGGATGAGCTTTTCAGGATACCTGTATTTGCAGAGACAATGTCCAGAAATAGGTTCTTATCCATATTGTGGGCTATGCACTTCGCAGATAGTGCCGCGGTTTCTCAACAGCAGAGGAAAATTGAGAAGATCAAACTAGTAGTAGATTGTTTTAACAACAGAATGAGTGAAATTTACAGTCCCCAGCGAGAGTTATCTCTAGATGAACCCATGGGGCTGTGGAGAGGCAGACTTGGTGTTAGGCAATACATTCAGGGCAGGAAACACAAATGTCGGGTCAAGCTGTATGTTTTGTGTGAAGCTGCTGGCCCGGCATTGAAAGCAATGGTGTGTGCTGGATCTCAGGATCAAGAGGTGGACGGAGTAAGCCATACAGAATGGGTTGTTACGAAATTATTGGATTCGTACCAAGGAAAAGGACATTCACTTTACATTGACAAATTTTATAACAGCATTGATCTAACAAAAAAGCTTCTGGCAGATTGCACGTATGTGACTGGGACATTAATGCCACAAAGAAAATCGAATCCACCTCAGGTTGTGAACAGTAGGCCGCAAAAGGGGGAAATAAAAAGTTTGTATGCAGAAGGAATTTGCGTCTTCAAATGGAAAGACAATAATGAGGTCTTAGCACTTTCATCAGAATTTACTGGTCGACTGATATCCACTCCAAATAGGAAAGGAATTGAAGTGAAAAAACCAGAAGCATTCATTCAATTCAAAAGGCACATGAAGGGAATTGATCATTTTGATCAAATGCTGTTACATTACTCATTAGAAAGAAACATTTTACGATGGTACAAAAAGATAGCAATCCATTTTTTTCAATTGATGGTATTGAATTCGTATTTGCTCTTCAATAGATACTCTGGGACCAAAACATCATTTCATTACTTCTTATTGAGCCTAATTAAAAATCTTGTATCAACAGGAAATAAACAAATTTACGAAACCATTTCTCCAGGACAGACCAATTGTTTGGAACATAAGCCTGTAAAAATCGAGAGGCTCACGACCGAAGGACGATCTAAAAGAATCCGTTGTAGACAATGCAGCAAACTTAAGATTGTAAAATTAACCTCATATCTGTGCCCTAAATGTCCTCACAAACCAGGCCTTTGTCCTGGACGTTGCTTTCAGTTGTATCACAATTAATTTATTTTCATACTTAATTGATATTATAAATTCCTTACATTCCTTTGATTTTTAAATGTATTTTTGTAATTAAGAGCTTTGTATATAGTATATATTGTTTGTGAATTTGATAATGCATACGTGATGTTTTCTGAGAATGGCTTTGTAAGAAAGAATTGTATTTTTTTGTTATTAAATAACTCATTCTTTGAAAAGTTAAAAGTTTACTGAAGCAAAAAAGTTTATAATTAAATGCAATTTTCTTCGTAGCAAATAAGCTTTTATTTTAAAAGACCCATATGCGCGGTAGGTTCCTAGATTGCAAAGCAGATTCGCATTTCGCATCCTAGTACAAATATTATATAGGGGATTAGCACTTACTAAAGATCCACATCAGTTGTAATATATTTGGGAGTAGAATAGAGTCCATAATTACATTGTCATATTGGCGACTGATAAAACCGTTTTTTTACGACAGTGAGGCTTGGGGCCGCAGACGACAAAGCCCAAAAAAATGTTTTCATTCAGTAGTTCAGTGGCATTAGCCTTGTTTGACAGCTAATGGGGGTCACTTTGGATTCGAATAATTGTAACAAAACTTTCAACTGAAGTAGCAAGCGAAAATCACAGCCGTATGCCTCCTCATTTCAAATATATTCATTGGCATAAAGTGGAAAGATATTTTTGGACCTCGCGTATTTTCTCAAAGTTGTATTAAAAAAACATAGAGGCTTACTTCTACAAACTATTGGAATTGAAAGAGAGAAATGCGTTATTGGGGAAAATATTGGTTTTTAAACAAACCATTCTCTTCTTGAAATCCAAAAGTGAAGAAAATTGGATTGTACCTTCTAAGGTAACAGTATAGGTTCTGAAAATAATGTAAAATAAAGATTTCATTTTCTTTTAGACTATATTCTTTCTTAACCCATTTTCCTATTTTTATTTTTGAACAGCATTCAGGTTGTGGAGTTCAGCTTTTTTTCAAAACTATAATCCTGGTCTTCCCCTTTGCAATAATGGCTTGTAATTCTGCGATGCAAGACAGGATGAATCAATGCAGATGCAATTGAAGTGAGAGAGACATGTACCGTAAACACGGACTACCTGAACCCAATTTTTCAATACTATCGTGCTTATTTCTTTACTAATCCTTTAAAAATAAAAATAAAAATAAAATGTTTATAGTTCGACAGGTATATATTGAAGTGCTCGAGTTATTTGATAAGATATATTTAACAAATTACAATTTGTTTTGATAATTGGGTTCAAGTTACACGTCTGCGTGGGCTACTTGAATCTATGCAATGTCACGTAAAACCACTGAGATTTCCAATGGGTCCAGGTGATCCTAGGTTTTCTTGTACAAAAATGAATGTAAATATGCCCCAAATACGAAGCCATTCTCGCCTTGAGAGATAATCATAGGTAATACCACGAGGGCTTGGAAATTGTCGATAAATTCCCGACTCCCGATTCTCATAGGTAATACTCAAGGGAATTTATCTGAGAATACCCTAAACATGATTGGTATTTAATTAGACAAATCCAGTATTTCGCTAGTTCTACCTAGTAGTTAATGTAGCAGACGGGCTAGATTAAACCGTGAGGTCGATACGTAATCGAAATCGAGATAAATGTATATACAGATAACATGAAGTTAATGTTTATTTGCTTTATTTAATTGCTTTAAAGTAACAAGCGTTGACGTTTAGAGTAACACGTATGAACACACAATATTCACCCAATATTCCGACACAATATTCTTGCCGTTGAAAATTAATTTATTAAACAGGCAATTTTAAAAATTAAAAGTGGAAGGAACTTCACCTTTTTTTCATTTCGTGTTTGATTCTGAACATTTGTGATGATGAATGTGCCTGTCATAATTTTTTTACGATTGCCAATGGTGTTGCTTAGTAATTTGCAGGCAGGTCTTTAGTGTCTTTAGTCTACATGTAGTAGCATGTAATTTTGATTACCTCTTGTTCTTGTACTTCCTGAATCGAGACGTCGCAGTATATCGTGGATAAAGTGTGTTATTTTGGCTTTGGCAGACCGGCTTGTTATGCTGGCCTTACATTAGCAATACGTTTCCGCAATATCTTTCAACAATTTGTTTCTGCTCTTGCGGTCATTCTTTACACTAGCTAGAGCAAGGAGAGGGAATATATTGCCAGAAAGATCTGAGAAGCAATCTTTCCGGCAAGATAATACCGGTCGCGTTTCATTAGGACTAGTTTGTTGCGTGTTTCGTTGACGGCGCGAGGAAAATGGCGACATGAATTAAGTAGGTTTATAAATCAACTTCCGACATACTCGATGGAAGGCCAGAAGATTAGATTGCGAATCGCCTATTAGTGGCTAAATGAAGGAGATGAATAATAGGCCGTAACGATTTGGTAGGGACGTGTTATCGAATTTTTAAGGAAGAGAAGGAAAAGGAGCTCTTGTGCGAAGTTAGGTAGAAGTGTTTGAAATACTTTTTCATAAAACAAAATGATTCGTGGATTTCAATTCCGTGGGAGCAAAGTAATTTTCTTTTAATAAAAAGTGCAATTACTAATTCGGCAAAAAGTTTTAAAATAGCCATTTCCTACAACTATTGTTGAGCAATCTTAAAATTTATTTAGATTAGATTAATATCTTAATAATTTTTAATGTAAAAAATTAATAATCTGGGGGCATCTATAGCTGAACCAAAATTGAACCTTTAAAAATCAACCGTAGAGGGATTATTTATTACTACTTTTAGTGTCGTAAACCTTTTTCACACACCCATATTACGAAAAGATGCATATTACAATGCAAATATTACGTCTATGTACTACCTTAACCGCACTTCCTGCGAATGTGATCGTGGTCAACATTGGCTTCTTCCAGCAATATCTTGCTCAGACTTCAATCCATCTTGTTCCAGCAACAACCGGCAATATCTTTCCGAGAATGGAAACACACGAGTTTACATTACGGCCGGAATATCTAGCTAGAAATATTGCCAACATCAGAAATATTTACTGCCGCAATGTTTACATTGGCAACTTTTCTTGCGAAATAATATTGCTCGCCATTTTCTTGCAAGTGTAAAGCCAGCTGAAGATTCGTGAGTCGGAGCTTATGATAGGTCAGTAGGTAGGGGAGGTAAGAAAAATCGGATGGGAAAAAGCGATACACTTTTTGAGATACACTGCCCTGATTGGGGCATATTGTATGTATAGTTAAACACTATTGGATTTAATTTCACGAGTGGAATAGTCTTCGAAAGCAGTAACGGTTCTGCCATCCATAGATAAGTAAGACTTCACAATAAATTTGCAATCGAGTTCATCCGCAGGTAATCTGTAATTACTGATTTGGTCTTAGTGTCTTGCAAGCAATACTTTTTCGCCTTCAGTAACCCTTTTTTTGGATGGTCCGGTTTCTGAATGGATTTCTTCAGTCCCCTTTTTATAGTCGATCGATGATAAAGAAAGCGTCAGCTTTTCTTCGTGACGTTATTCCCGACAATTTGCTGCCAAACATTCCGCAAGCTGATGGTCCTTATAATCCGCTCATTTCCGACTTCCG